ATTACCCTCATCTGTGAAGGAATAGCCATTCTGTCTCCACACAGGGGTTACACAGAACCGGGAGGGGGAATGGAGTTGGGGTGGGGTTGGGGAAACAGATCCACATTCCTCTGGCCCATCAAATATGTCTGTTGACAGAGCCCGGGGGAGGCCCGTGTTCTGTCTGTCTGGTTCTGCATGGCTTCCTTCTGGTGACAGCAAGTTTTCATTTCATACTGAATAGCCACATAAGAGCCTATTTAAAAATTCTTTTCTTCTAAATTTATTGTTTAAAATTCTTAATATGTAATCCTTGTACATTCTTTATGGGGTGCAGTACAATATTCTAACATATCTACACAGTGTCAATAAATCAAGCCTTTCCATGTCATCGCATTTGGAGCCTACCTGCTCCTCTCTTACAGTTCTCCAGGCAGTAGAGCATCCCTGACTGTGCCCTTTAGTCACACCATCATGTGCTGGACTTGCTCATTCTGATGGCTTTCTGCACCCATTACCCAACTTCTCCCAGCCTCTAGTATGGGTTACTTTCTGGATGACTCCTTGGTAATGATCAGTATGGAGAGGAGTACACCAAATGCCTGGACCACTATTGTGTTCTAGACGGAGTAGCTCCATGCTGGAGAGGTCATTCCGGCCTAACTTCTTGGCAAGAGTAGAGATCTACCCAGCGTCAGCTGCATGACTGCCCTTCCTCCGGTTCCAAAGATCTCATTCCCAGCCAGGCAACCTGCCCCGTGCTGGACAATTCCAGTGCTTCGAATGTGCCTTTCATTGTCCTGCTCCTGAACTTGGACTACAGTCCTAGCTCTACTCGCTGTGCATAGAGCAGGTCAATCCTCTTCCCTCTTCTACCCATCTGATAATTAGTCACTTCTCATGCCTTTCCTTGGTTTTTCTGAGTCAAACATCTCCGTCCCTTCTCTGCAGACTCCTCCACAGGGGACTGTCTCATCCCGTCATCCTCCTTGAAGGCTTTACTGGGGCTGCATTAGCAGCGATTCCAAGGCAATTCACCCAAGCAGCGGATGGGGGTGGGATAGAGGTTGGCAGGAGGCTTCAGCCACCAGCACCATCAGCATTGCTTCAAGCCTCTCTGGAGGCTGCTTGAATGTCCTCAAGATGAGGAGACTGACTTCATTCAGAACAGACAGTCCAAAAAGTAATAATGCTTTTCATGACCTAGCTTCAGATATCAAGACATTATCACTGCTGCTACATCTCTCCTCACCCGCTGTGTCACTTTCTGAGATTCTGGTCAGTCCTGATCAACCACGGTTCATAAATGTTAAATAGAAAACTTCAAGAACAAACAGTAAGTGGCATGAAGCTTGGAGTAGTAGGATGAAATCTTGCACTTTCCTGCTCTGTCCCTTCCAGTACAGAGATTGGCCCTTTGTTCAGCAAATCCACGCTGTATTCATTACCCACCCTTTAGTTAAATATCTATTTTGATTTAACTGATTGTTGGGTATTAAAGTACCTGTGTTCAATGAGCTCATTTTACTCAATAGTGGCACCGGAGCACAAAAGTGGTGATGATGGCAATTTAGATATGCCACAAAAAAGCCACAACATGCTTCCTTTATATGAAAAGGTGAAGGCTTATCATGGGTGAAGTATATATGAAACTCGATGCCATGTAGTTTCAGGCATCCACCAGGGGTCTTGAAACATACTGTGCATGGAGAAGGGGGTGGGACCACTGCTGTTAGAAGTAAGCATTTGGGCTGTCTCACATTTAGGAAGAGGAATTAGGCTCTACATTAAGAACACAGGCTGTCAAATTGGTGGACACCTTTTAAAATTATTTCCTTAAATATTTAAATTTAACCACACCAGGTGCAGCACAGTGACCTAGTAGCTAAAGTCCTTGCCTTGAACGCACCAGGATCCCATATGGTTGCTGGTTCTAATCCCGGCAGCCCCACTTCCCATCCAGCTCCCTGTTTGTGGCGTGGGAAAGCAGTCGAGGACGGCCCAAGGCCTTGGGACCCTTCACCCACGTGGGAGACCTGGAACAGTCTTCTGTCTCCTGGCTTCGGATTGGCGCAGTACCGACCATTGCAGTCATTTGCGAAGTGAATCATTGGATGGAAGATCTTTGTCTCTCCTCCTCTCTGTATATCTAACTTTGCAATAAAAAATAAATAAATCTTAAAAAAATTTAACCACACCATGATAAAAATATTCTTTGTCTAAAAATATTTTTCCTATTGTCATCTTCTAGAATCTAATAGAAAGATGGAGGTGTCTGAATTTTCCCCCTTTGATGTTCCATTTAAGACAGATACCTACCTAAAATCCATCTCATGGTTTGCATTTTTCTAAAAACCCTAGGAGCACACACAATGCTATGTTCCCCATGCTTTCTCTCTCAATGGCTTCTTGCCTTGTGAAACAGGTGACAGTCCACTCCTCAGAGGATAACAGGAAGCCTGGGTTATGCTCAAGCTAGCAGCCTTGCCCTAACTATAGACGATAGCCAGGATCCTAACAAAAGGCTAATTCCAACTTGGATGGAGCAGGGAAGGTGAGCATTCAATTTTACGCTGCTTTACGATGTATTGTGACTGTCTCCATTTCTCCCCGTCTCTACCATTACTTCAGGCCAGGCTGCCATGAGTGGGTTTATGTGCCTCTCTCAGCCAATCCCTTCCTAACCTTCTGAACTCAGTAGCCTTTCTGCTGTGACAAATACCTTTTGCTTCAGTCTGATAACTGCACTGATGGCTTTCCTTCATGTTTTACAAGTATTGTTTACTCCCCAGATCAGCTTCTACCTACTTTCTCTTTAAGCCCTCGTGGAGTGTCCAAGCAAAAGTATTAACTAAATGAAGGACTGGAAATGCCACAGAGTTCAGACAGGTGCTCATGACTTTTTAAAAAAAGTACAAAGTAAACACCCCTCGTTCTTCTGAAGTCCTCAGAAGCAATTGAGGAATATGTTTTTCTCCAAGATACAGGAAACATGAAGGTCAAGTTCAGTGCTACTGTTGTCTGTGAGGATACATATTTAATTCTGCACCAACGCTTTTTAAAAACTGCTATGATTTATTTACCAAAGAGTGAGCGTATTCCAGCTACTGGTTCTCTTGTCAAACTCCTGCAAAGACTAGGGCTAGTCTAGGCCACAGTTAGGAGTCTGGAGCTCAGCCTAAGTCTTTCACACAGGCAACAAGAACCCAACTCCTTAAGCCATCAGCTACTGCTTCTCAGAGTCTACACTGGCAAGAAGTTGGAATCAGGGAAGGAACCAGGACTCGAGCCCAGGTATTCTAATAGAATAATGCAGGCTAAGAGCCAGTGTCTTAACCATGAGGTAAAATGCCTGTCCCACCAAAGCTTTTTAAAAATGAGGGGTGAATAATGGATTAATGGACCATGGAGTCACTTCTTTGGTGCCAAAACTGCTGTGGGATCTTGCACGAGTTACCTTAATCTCAATGGAAGTAAGCCCTTGTCCCAAAGACTGTGGAAAGGATTCTAAATAACATGTATGGTATATTCAGAGTAGTGGTTAGTCCCGAAATTGCTCAATGTTTTACTTTCTAAGAAAACTATGACTTGTAATTCCTTGGGGGCTCCTACTATTACCACTGCCCCCCAACACTTTCCAGTCACCCCTAAGTCATGTTATTTGCCTCAGCTCCTCTACTTATGCATGCAATAAGGGCCATCAACTCAGCAGAGGGTGCACCTGCTCCCCAGTATTGTGAAAACCTGCACCCTTCTAACTCATCAGGTGTCAGAGAAAACCAAATCAAGGCTTAAAATACCCAGGAAATGGCAGCTTCTGTCTGAACAAAAACCCATCTGAATATTTTTGATCTTAGGGTGAAACCTCCTGCTTGGAAACGGTTCATCTGAAATGTTCTGCTATTAGGAGAAATTATTGTTTGGAGGCTAATAATGGCCAATGTGGTTTTCTTTCTAGTTAAAACAATTCTTGTCTAAATTGTTGAGGCAAAGCTAGATGGATGGAGCTCTCATTTAGAACACATTCACTGTGGAATTTAGTATTGATGTTCTCTAAGAGGATGTGATTAATCAATCAATTTGGGTGTGAGAAATGAACTGTCTCAGGACTTTTTCATTAAAGGTAGACTTGGGGAAGCTGTGTAGTATGAATAGCCAGGAAAGATAATGTTCATGAAGATGAAAAGTAACAATAAATAGAACAGCCTTTCAGTTACATAAGATCAAAGTATAATATTTCATGGGGTCATACTGATTCTGCTTCCAGATACATGGACATAGACAGATAGTCCCACAGAGATAGGCTCATTCCAAGGAACACCTTGGAACTGTGGTCTCCCCGGTCTGACTCCCCTGCATGCTTCTCTCATGGGTCACACCACCTAATGCACTGATAACCTGATTTTCAACAGAAAAGTGCAGGTTAGACTCATTAGATGCTAAGGAATTAATACTTCTTAAGGAAAATCTGCATTTTAATTCATTCTATCAAGTAGTTGAAAAGAAACCAAATCCTATGCTATTTTCCATCTTTAAAAAAAAAAAAAGAAATGCTAAAATTTTTACTAGGGGAAAAAAATAACCTCAAAAATGCATACTCCCTTATCTCACACCTCCCTGCCAAAAAACAAAAATCTGCAAGACAGCAGGCCTTTATCCTGGCCTGGCAAGGGAGAAGCATCGTTTAACCACACTGAGGTGTCACAAAGTGGACATGACTTGAGTAACGAGGTGCCCACTACCCACATGGGAGCCCTGGATTACATTCCTGACTCCCAGCGCCAGCCCAATTCCCACCTATTAGGCATTCAGGTGGTGAAGCAACAGATGATAGCTCTCTATCTCTTTAATTCTGCCTCATGAAAGTAAACATGAAAACCAAAACCAAAAGAGGTGTCCACTGAATTAAAGTCCACACACGCACACATGCACGCAGGCACACGGCATTGACGTCAGTGTTGGAGGATGTTCTCTGAAGGTGGGCAGAAACATTTAGACATCCAACAGGGGCAGCGTTGGAAACTTTTTATTAAACAGGCAATGCATTGTGCAACGGTTAAGGACACAGATGCCTAGTGGAAAAGTTTAAAAATTATTCTTGGAAACAGTCTGTGAATGGCTGAGCCCTGGTACACCTCCTTTCTCTCCTGCTTTGTCTTCAGGAAAACACATTGGTCCATAGCTGCGCTTGGAAACGGCATCCCTGTTTTACCATAAACGTCATGCCTAGAAGTAAACACGAAAGGGGAAGCCAGGCTCCGTGGGCGAGGCAGTGACTGGTGGTAGCGCAGGCTGGCCTCCTGGAAAGGCTTTCTCCCGGTCCTGCCCGGTGTCTGGTCACACATCCATGTTGCATCTCTATTCCCTTCCTCATTGGAGGCCTTGTTACACAGGGAATTCTGACAGCCTCACACGTACCCCTCTGGGCACAGGGACTCGTGCCTGGCAGTCCTCAGTGTTCTTGTCTTGAGCCCCTTGTGGCTCAGGATGATGGCTGTGCATTGCACTTGTTCCCTTTGCTCAAGTCTGGTTCTCTCCTCCTTCCCCTGCTTGATGATAAAATCCATCTCAAGTTTCCCTGTTTGTTTGCCGTGATTCATCGGCACTTTTTTTTTTTTTTTAATGATGTGGCCTGGCAAGGGAGGCACATTCATGATTAAGGTGCTGCAATTCTATTTTATTATTTGGGGCATGTCACTCCAGGCTTGAGATTTCTTTCTGGCAAGTTCCATCCAGGATGGCTGATCCGCACTGGCGTAACTGGCCCTCTTGAGCTGATGCAATTCCTCCGTCATGGCGGCAGCCTGAGCTGCTGGGAAGCAGACAAAACAAACAGAAACATGAGACTTGGGTTTAGGTTTTCACTTAAGTCCTTTGCATTTCTTTAAACATGTCAAGGTCCTCACTGTGTTCTCAAATGTAAAGCTTGTTCATGTGTAAGCAGGTATATAAAGACCGAGATGTACAAGGTGCTGTGGAGGTGATTATGAGGCTCAAGGAGCAGGCTCACATGATTCTGACCATGCAGTGAGGCGAGAGAAACTTTTGGAAGAAAACTCCTCGAGCTGTGGAGCCCGGCTGCAGAGCAGGGTGACAACCCGGCTGTACCACTCCGGGACTTGGGTATCAAGGTATCTCTGGCTACCTTCAAAATAAATTCTATCTTATGGACACGGATATAGGCACCAGCTGGGGCGATCTCCCAAACACTCAGCTCCAAGAAGGCACAGGCAGGAGGACACATTCTACGGTTCCACTGATAAGAAGCATCAGAAAAAGGTGAACCCAGGGGGTTACAAAGCATAGACATGCAGGTTGCCTGAAGCTGGTGTTAGGGGTGCTGAATGGGGGGACTGTTTGGGTACAGGGTTTCAATGAAGGGGGAAAGAGAAAATGTCCTCAACTCAGATCATTCTGATTGTGAAATACATGCTCACAACTCTACTCCCTGAATTACCCACTCACAACTGGGGAACCTGGGAATGCCCACACCCTGATTTGAGCAGCACATACTGTATGCAAACATGAACGCATCCCACAGCCCCTGGGCATACTTGTTCATCAGAACCAATTTTTAGATGGTGCAGCAGGTGGAAAAAAAAATCAAACAGGTGAATTTTATGGTAGGCACATTCTAGCTCTGTAAAAGCTGTGTCAAAAAGTTCCCTGTGCAAGAATTCCATAAGGCAAGGCCACACGAGCAGGAGCGACACAGGAGGGTGACTTCCAAGCGTTGAAGAATGCTGACAGGTGTCATACCCAGGTTCTGATGGGACAGTGAGATTCCTCTTTGCAGTCCCTCCTTGAGGTTCAGCTTGGTGCCCTGCCTCCCACCCATGTTGGGCTTAGCAGGGGTGATCAGGAAGGACTTGCTGCGGACAAAGTCGGCTTGCTTCGTGGGCTCCTGTTGGGACACAAGAAAGACACGTGCTGTCTGGTCACCCAGATGGGGCGCAGGTGGCAACACAGAAGCTGAGAGGCCTGGTTGGTTTGTATGCACAGCTGGTTTGGCTTGGTAAGAGCTGTTTTCAGTGCAGAATACAGAATGGGACCCCGATTTCCAGCCCTGAAGCCTCAGGGGAGGACTAAGGAGCCTCGGCAGGCAGCAGGAGCAGGGCACGACCTGCAGCAGAGCTGCTGAAATCACTGCTGGGTGTCTAGCTGAGCAGTTATTTTAACCTCCTTCCATTTTTCCCAGCTGCTGAGCTGCGTTGCCTAGGAGCAGGGAGCAGAGAGCTGCCTCCACTGCCTCAGTGACTCACGGGTTTTTCTGTGTCTTCCAGCAGGCCAGTACATATGCAAAGCAGGCTGGGTGCTCCACCACAGGGGACAGTGTTGGGCAGATCATTGATTTTGCTGCCCTGACTCTCACTTGCATGTCAGCCATCATCACAGGCCACCGTGTTAGGACAGAACGGTCATCCTGAGGGTCCTCACCCCAGCCCTGGGGCCGGCCCCTCCCGCATCCATGCAACACACACAGGACTTGGTCTAAGCACCTGGACTCTTTCAGATGCCTTGGCTGGCTTTCCCGTTTCAGACTTCAAGGTCTGCACCCCAGGCTTGTCTTCCTGGTTGGGGGGCTGGTCCGGGGCCCCTCGCCGCTTCTGTCGAGCCACGGTGATCCAGGGTGGTGTGGGCTGGGTGTCAGTGCCAGACCCCGATGCTGAGGGAGGCAGCCCTTTTTCTGTTGGCAAAAGTATAAGGTTAGGCATGACAGCCTCACCTGCCTCTTCAGCCTCATGTTTGCTTCTGCCTTGGTTCCAGGAGGCAGGGAGTAGAACAGAGCAGGGATTTTGCCCTCTTTTCAAAGATCAGTGAAGCCAATTGTTCCCCTGCAGTCTGAGTAACAACAATTAAATGTAGCTGCCTTTGAAGGGCAATGTGCATTTCATATCACTGTGTGTGTGTGTGTGTGTGTGAGACACAGACAGACGCAGATGAACTTCCATTCACTAATTCACTCCCACAAATGCCTGTGATGACTGGAGCTACAGCTGGGGATGGGCCAAAGCCAGGAACTCCCATGACTGACAGGTATACAACCACTTGGGCCTCACTGCTGCTCCAAGGGTGTGCAGTGGTATGAAGCTGGCATGGTATGAAAGAAGGAGATGGAGCCGGGAGTCCAGCTGGTGGGGGAGATTCACCCATCTCAACTGCAAGGCTAATCTCCCACCCCCAATGTGCAGTTTACAGCCATCTTGGTTCTAGAGAATCCTTTCTGGAAAGAGATAAACAGTAAGTCTGTGAATAGATGTCTTTAATAGACTCAGTTACTATGAACCAGTGCGTACCATGTGACTCCTCATTTGCCTGAATGTTGTAGACACCTTACTATTTGTATCTTATTTTTTTAAAAAAGCATTAGGAAATATACTTTTTTCTTAAAATTTTATTTTATTTATTTGAAAGGCAGAGTTATAGAAAGGGGGAGGGGAGGAGTGATGGAGAGATCTTCCATCCACTGAGTACACTCCCCGCATGGCTGCAATAGCCACAGCAAAGCCAGGCTGAAGTCAGAAGCCAGGAACTTCTGCCTGGTCTTGCTCACGGGTTCAGAGGTCCAAGCACTTGGGCTATTTTCTGCTGCTTTTCCACAGTGGCAGGAAGCTGGATCAAACTGGGGCAGTCAGGACACGGCGCCCATATGGGATGACAGCCCTAATCTCTCATTTTTTAAAATGGTAGGGACCAGTGTTGTGGCATAGTGAATAAAGCTGCTGCATGCGAAGCCAGCTTATTAAAAATCTATTTATTTTTAAAAAGTACATTTATGTACCTGAAAAGGAGGCAGAGAGAGAGAGAGATCTCCCACCTGCGGTCTCATTCTACATTAATGCCTGCCAATAGCTGGGACTCAGCTAGTTGTGGGTGGCAGGGACCCAGTCACTTGAACCATCACTGCTGCTTTGCAAGGTATGGAACTGGGAGTGGAGCTGACACTCTTCAGGGTGTGCACCCGACGCACTTGAAGAGGTATCCTAGGGACTAGGCCAATGTCAGCCTCTCAGGCTTATCTCTGGTGGACCAAACTGGGGTCAATCTCCCTCTTTCTTACTTCTCACTTATCTCCTTTTTCATATTTTAATATGATGTGAATTTATTACCTTTACCAAGAGAAAAGAGAAGTGAGCTTATTTTATGCCCATGAAACTTCTGGTTTAAGTGCTTCCATTTCTGATTCCCTCCTACCTCACCCCCATGATCCTAAACCTGCCTGCAACCCAAACGAAGTAGACATTGACCTCCTGCACTCCTGGCCCCTGTGCTGGCCTGAATCAGTCAGGCAACTCATGCAGGGGCTACTCTCCAGCAGCCCACCAGCAGTCCCAGCGTGAGTTAAGGTTGCTGCATCCTGGGAATATCCAGATCTGACTTTCTTGTTTTTCTCTCTGCCCCAAGACCAAGATGGAGCCTCTTTGGTGCCCTGGTCAGTAAGAAGGGGAGAAGGGCAGGAGCCTCCATTTTTGGTGCTGCTGTGTCCCTTGGAGGGTTAGGGGGTTCTAGCCTCTCTCTCTCTCTCTCTCTCTCTCTCTCACACACACACACTCACACATTCTCTCTCTCTCTCTCTCTCTCTCTCTCTCTCTCTCTCTCTCTCACTCCTGAGGCTCAGAATGGCTCTTGAGGAGTGAACCAGCAGATGGAAGATCTTTCCCACTGTCTCTCCTTCTCTCTGTATATCTGCCTTTCCTTTTTTAAAGCCTTAGATGCATTTTGACCTCTCACCATGACAGCATGCAGGCCCTCTCTTTCCTTGCTGTGCTAGGACAGCCCCGCCCTGCCCCACCCAGTCCTGTCCTGCTCTGCCTTGACCACTGGATTCTGAAGTATCTAGCCACAGCTCGGCACTTCCCCCATGCTCTCTCCCCTCTATCTCAGCCGCTCAGTCTCAGAATTCACGCTCAGTCCAAACTCTGCCCAGTCCCCACTGCCAGCTCAAAAGACCTTTAGAGGTAGCCCAGGCTACTTGTCTGGGCAGCCCAGCTTTTGTTCAGGCCCCGGAAGCATCTCCCACCTCGCTTTGTGCTGTATAAGCTACCAGGCTGTGAGCGAAGGTGCTCTCTGCTGTGTGTTCACCCAGGAGGGAGCCGCTCCCAGGTTTATTTTTAAATAAACTGGGTCTGGCTGTGGCTACATTCTCTGTCTTCTCTTCCCTTATGGTAGACAAAAGCATAAAAAGGGAGAAAATGTTTCCCATAAATCCACAGCCCAAGGCATTTGTGTTAAAACTCGAGCATCCTCTTTTAATTTTTCTTGGTTACACTGAGAGCTCAGAAACGCACCCGCAGGGCTCATTCCCAGATCTTGAAAATAAAAGGGGGCTCCAACAGATGGGATTAGCAAGTTCACTTTGGTGCAAAACGTCTGCATTTTCTCAGAGAGACTTCCGATGGAAAGCGGATGCTCCAGGTGGGCTTTTGACTCCACAGGGGAGAAGCTGGCTGGGATGCAGCACCGCTTGGGGTCAATCCCTGGCTCCTGGCCTGCCTCCAGCGTCCCACCAGGGTAGACCCTGGGAGGCACTCCAGTGGGGGACTCAGCCTGAGTGCCTCACTCCTGGCTTTGCCCTTGGCCCTGGCCCTGCCCACTGAGATCATTTTGGGAGAGTGAATCTGTGGGTGGGTGCTCTGTCTCCTCAGATTTAAAGTAGGATGTGTCATCGTTATTTTGCACAACTGCCATGAAGCCAGAACAGCCAACACTGCCTCGGGCCTTTAAGAGAGGCAGTGACAATCCTGTCACAGCTCTGTGTCACAGGACCCACCTCTGCTCCAGAAGTGTTTTTGTGCCTGGCTGTACAGTCCACTCCCCGAAGCAGAGATGGGGCCTGGGGACACACTAGGACTCACTCCCACTGTAGGGTCACAACAGGCTTCCTGGGGGAAGGACTTGGGTATCTTGGTTTTGTTACATAGTATTGGGTCCTGGCTTACACAGTCAGCTCTCCTGATCCTGCACACAGCCCACGAGCAGTCTGAGATCTCCCCACAAAGGCAGGCTTGAGGTGTTTGCCTCAGGCATCATCTTGAAACTGGGCTGAGTGTCTCGACATAAGAGTTTTTTTAAAGAGCCAGATCTCACTTAGACAAAAAGTTATTTGAGAGGTAGAGGAGAGAGGAAAGAAAGGAAGGAGCAGAAAAAGGGAGAGGGATGGGGAAGATGAGAAAGACCATCCACCAGTTCACTTCCCAGATGCCTGAAATAGCTGAAATTGGATGCAGAAGTGGCAGCTGGGAACTCAAACAGGGACTTTCTCTTACACGGCAGGGACCCATCACCTGCTGTGTTCCAGGGTTTGAATTAGCAGGAAGTCAGAGTCAGTTTTACTGCGCAAATGGCCACAACAGTAGAAGCAAAGCCAGGTCAAAGCCAGGAATCAGGAGCCTCTTCTGCTCTTCCATATGGGTGTAAGGGCCCAAACACTTGGGCCATCTTCCACTGCTTTCCAGGGCACATTACTTTTTTTTTCTTTTAAAGATTTATTTGTTTTTGTTGGTCAGGCAGATGTACAGAGAGGAGTCAGAGAAAGACCTTCCATCCACTGAGTTTATTCCCCAAATGGCTGCAATGGCTGAAGCTGAGCCAATCAGAAGCTAAGAGCTTCCTCTGGGTCTCCTTATGAGGGTTTAAGGTCCCTAGATTCAGCCATTCTCCACTACTTTCCTAGACCACAAGCATGGAGGTGGATTGGAACTAGGGCAGCCAGAACATGAACCTGTGTCCATAGGGGATGCCAGCATCACAGGCAGTGGCTTAACTCGCTACACAACAATGTCAATGCCCTAATTCCCATTTAAAATGACAGGCTTGTGTTCCACCTCCAAGTTCGACATATCACTACTCTTTCATTATTCAACATATACAGTCCATCCTCATTCACCAATTCCATATTTGTATTTCTAACCCCCAATCAATAGTCATCCTGTGTTTGAAGTCATCTGCAGACACATGCAGGGTGGAAAAACTACACCAAACCAAACAAAAAAACTTGAGTTGCCCAGTCCATATGTTTCATTCTGAAGTCGAACCAACTATACCCTGCCTTCTGATCTCAGCTCTTACACTGTTATCACCTCCTTTTTGTGGGCTACTGTGGTGCCTTGCTGTTGGGCCTCTGGCGGGGTGAGTCTTCTGTTTAAAATGGCCCCCAGTATTAACAGAGAGCTGCTACCTAGTGTTGCTCTGTGCAAGACACCTATGATGTGCGTGCCTTACAGAGAAGACGTGTGTTAATCAGGCTGCTGTGTGCGGGTCTGATGTTAATGAGCCAGCAGTGTATGTTATGTGAGGCATCTCTGGACAGCAGCATACATCAAACAAGGTTGTGCAGGTTGCGCTGGAGCCTCACAGCAATGCAGCCTTGTACTTCACTCAGGAACACCACCTGCTTCAGGACTTGGTAAATCCAGTGTTTGTGTGGTGATGTTTCAGGTCATGACAACCTCAGACGCGCAGACAGGAGTGTAACTGTGAGCGCCCACCAGGTGCCAGGCCTGTGGTGGCTCTAGATCTACAGGTGAGAAGGACTCTGAACCTCCAGTAGATGCCCCAGGCTCTCTGGCAGGATCCTTGGAGACCAGAGGATCCTTCTGCAGCCCACACAAGATCCACAATCCAGGGAGGAGCCCCAGAACCTGCAGGAAGAGGGCACAGATGGGGCTCTGAGCCACTGGTCTCATT